GCTAAATGAAGTATCATCATGTATTGTTTTCATTTTTTCCTAAAAAGAAATGTAAGCTCCCAGTCAGAACAGGGGTTAAAAAAAAAAAGTATGCCTCTAATTTAAGAACCCCTGTCACTTCTTACTGTTTTCTAAAACACGGGCTATTATTTGTACTCAGAGGGAGGCCATCCTCCCCCTTACTTCTAGGTCTGTCCTGGTACTTTTTCATAGCTCCTAGTACCACCCAACTACTACAGTAGGGAAAAGATACTAATTACCACTATTGTCCTGGGATCACTCACTGGGAGGCAGAATCATATGAGCACTAGAGTCAGAATCGTATGAGCACTGGAGTCAGACTGCCCACACCTACTAGCTCTGTGGGCACCACTTTCTAGTCCTATAACCATGGGCACGTTACTTAATTACTCTCTGAATCAGTTTCCTCATTTGTACAATGGGGCTACTAATAGTACCTATCTCATAGGGTTGTGGGGATTGAATAAAATAATATATGTAAAGCACTTAGAACAATGCCTAGAACATAGTAGGTGCTCAATTTACTTTTTCCCTTCAAACTGTGTTTCCAAGACTCATCCATGTAGCTAAAGTTCACTTTTTTTCATTGCTATAACAATATACCATTGTTGAAGGACATTTGGGTTATTTCTAGTTTTGGGCTGTTACAAACAAGAATGTGAACTTTCTTATACACATTCCCTGATACACACATGCAAAACTTTCTTTAAATAATATAATTATAGGAGCGGTTGTTCCAGTTTTACATCCATCATGAATATATATGAGTTCCAGGTGCTCTCCATCTTTCTCAACACTCGATATTGTCAGACTTATGCATTTTTGCCAAACTTGTGGGTGATTTTTCATTTCCCTGATTACCAATGAACATGAGCATCTTTTTACATATATGTGGGCCACGTGTGTTTCCTTTTCTGTGACATCGTTTGCCCAACTGGCTACTGGGTTGTTTCTTCTTAACAATTTGAAGGAATTCTTTATACATTCTAGATACTGCCTCCCCTATGAATTCCCTCTCAGCTAGTCCATTGCCCACTCTTCCTTTGTTTATTTTTTGTAATTTGGGTTCAGAGTCACTCTAATCCATCAGGGATTCTTCCTCTTCATATATATCTTTATTCCTTGTGGAGAGGGGTATACATGGGTGGGTTGGAATCAAGTCCTGTTTCCTTTTCTGCTGGGATATACTATGTCCAGCAACAGCTGCTAAGCTCTACATGCTCGTTGTGGAGATACAAAATGTCCTGTCACACACACATAAGACATGAAAAGGAATCCCAGGTAGCGGAATTATGGGTATTTCTTCCTTTCATTATACTTTGATAATTTCCCAATTTTTCAATAAGAAACATATTATTTTTATAATCAGAAATACATGTTGTTGTTGTTTTTTTTAAAATAATTTTCACTCTTTAAGCTCTGTGGCTTTCAGAGACGTTTGATTTTAAACCTGCTAGTCGCAAGAGGTTAAGGAAAATCCCATTCAGCAGGAAATAGTTGGTTCACATCCAGGGTGAGATCACAAGGGGAACCCACCTGTGAACTGACAAATGCAACACAGCAGGGGCAAAACCTGATAAAGCCAACCCCTTACAAGCTGAACTCAGTGTTCCCAAGGAGACTGTAAACTATACATTTAGATTTCCTTTGTACCCAGCACAGCTCTCAGAGATATGTACTTAATTGAAGCTGCTACTGCTGACAATGGTGACAACATCCTTGGGGTAAACACTGGCATGGTGTTTTGTTCTCCTCTCGTTTAAAACCCACCTGCCTTCTGTGGTTGCTTATGATAGTCTTTTCAGTCTCTCTGTTGACCAGAGGGGAGAAACGAGAAAATGGGCTCAAAGCTAAATCTCCTGCCATCAATCTGAGGGGACACAACCTGGAAAAGATGAGTGAGGCCCACGCGTGGATCCAAAGGTTACTGACCCTCCAGGAGCACATCATTGAGAATAATCATATCCTCTACCTTGGGAAAAAGGAACATGACAATTTGTCTCAGCTTCAGGAAGCCTCAAGGGTCTCTATCTCAGAAATTATCAGTCCAGAAAAGGCAAGTTTAGAGATTAAAGGAGCCCGGGCTGATGTTATTGAGGTTGTTATGAAGATTGAACGTATGCTGTGTGAAGTTCAAGAGGAAATGGCAAGAAAAAAGGAGCGAGACCTCTGGAGCTTGTCCGGTGAGTAACTTTCTACTAAGTTGGAAAGTCAGCTCTCCAAATTGTTCCTTCTTTCGTGTGTGAGTGTGCACGTGTGTGTGTGGGCAAGAGATAGAATGAACAGGAGAGAGAGCAAACTGCTCGTTCTGTGTTAGGCCATAAACTTTTATAACCGTTTGGTGGCTCTCTTTCTACCAGCAGGGTTAATTATTAATAAATGAAAACACACACACACACACACGATTGGATTTACTTATGATGACATGGATCACCTAAGAGGCAATTACACAGAAAGCCTAGGGTAACCCCAGCCCAGGCTGTGGAGAAAAAGTACATCCCTAATTCTGTAGATGGAGCATTCAAATGTAGACACATTCCACTTGATTGATTAATTTCTTTGAGTTTTATTGCATTTATTTGTTGCTAGCAGCATTAGGAACCCTAAAATTACTTACTTTGAGCCCTCTCACGAGAGTAAATTATTCATTGGTACCGTGAAGTACACTCAGGTATCACCCATTCAGTGGGGCAGAATCCATCAGGATGACTGGGAATTTGGGCCTGGAGAGATCCTTTTAACTTAGCCCTAGAGCTAACTAGGAAATTATACCACTGAAAACACCAACTTGGAAGACAGAGGCTTATTTCATTCATTTATTCAACTAATGTACATTGTATCCATGATATGTGCCAGGCATTGTGCTAGGTGCTGAGGATACAGTGATAAGATGGGAATTGTTCCCACTCAAAATCTAATTGGGGATATGGAGAAGTGAGCAGGTGAGTTATGGCAGAGGAGGGTAAAAGTGATCTGGGAGCACCTAGGAGAGGCACCTAACCCAGACTTGGGAGGTCAGGGGAAAGCTTCTCAGAGCAGGTGTCATAAATGGAGAACTGAAGAATAAGTAGAAATTAATAAAAGAAAGAAAATTCCAAGAAATCAGACCATAGCAGGGCCTGGGTTATGTAAGACTTGTAAATCACATGAAAGATGTTCAGAGTTTTTCTTGAAACAAATCGGGAGACGTGAAGGATTTTAAGCAAGGATAAGGTCAGACTTGTATTTTAGAAAGATCACTGATTGTTAGGTGGAGAATGGATTTAGTACAAAAATTCAGAGGCATAATTTCAAAGGACACCTTATTTTCACCATGTGTTTGTAAAAATAATTCAGGTAGAAATGGTCGAAGTGAGTGGGAGTTTGCAATAAACATATCCAGTTTCCACAGAAAACCCAGTGTCAAAAAACATGGACAAAAATAATACACAAGAGAGACCCAACATTATGATTTCTACTTAGCTTTTGAAACATAAGGACTATGGATATTTAAACTGACACTGATACTTCTCAAGAGAACAAGAGACAAAGAAACATTCATGTCCTATAAAGCTTGTGGCATTACTTTAAATTAACTGCATTCCTAAGCTTAACCCATTCTCCTAGCTATTGGCAATGTAGTCATTTAAGTTCCTTATTCTGCTGCAAGGTGGCGTTTTTGGTGGTTGATGACTAATCATATTATTTCACAGCAGCGTTTCAGAGGTTCATACAGACTCACCCTCTCTTGATCAGATTAAGATCTTCATTAACAAAATGGGTAATTTTATTACTGCATGGAACATCAATTATCCATCAGGACAATAACATTTAAATGATAGAAGTTAGGCATCTCCTCTCTCTCAATCCTTCCCAGTGAGCGCTTCTTACAGCAGGAGTTTGTGGCTCTTTGAGTCTCCAGTGCCCAGCCCAGTATCTGGCATGTAGTAGGAGCCCAGTAAACGTTTGCTGAACTCAAGTGAACTGACGTTAATACCATACTCTGTAAATGTGAGCTATTGCCCTCCAGATTTAATTTACAGTCTCTTCCTTTGAAAGTTCCTGGCTTTTATGGAGTTTTGTCCCTCCTGCTTTCCAGATTGACATCTTGGCCCTCTAGCAAGTTTCTCTGCATTTATCATCTGCTTTTTGTGGTTAAATTGAGCCCACTCAATTAGATAATGAGCTGAGCTCATTTTGGTATACTTAATCTTAAGTCAAACTGAAAATAAACTGAAATTTACTGAGCCTTTTACTGAGCCTTTTTTGGGGTTTCCATGTGTCCACCTGTATATTTTGTCCAATAAGGAGCTCTTTTGGGCAATAACAGGTTGTCCCTTGAATTTAAAAATGGAAGGAAAGAAGTTAATGAAGGGAGGCAGGAAGGAAGGAAGAAGGAAGAAAAAAAGGAAAAAAGGAAGGAAGGGAGGAAAGACATGATGCCACAGAATCTTAGTCTCCAAACTCTGCGCTTCTTGGTTGGGTGGTATATGAGTGATATATGTACCAAATATTCTGCACTGCCCCTTGCAGAAAGCACTGGTGAAAGCCAGGTTTATAGTCTTGGATCTGTACTTATTAGCTGTGTGATATTGGGCAAGTCACTTAAATTCTCTGAGTTTCAATTTCCTTATTTGTAAAATTGTGTTAGTTATTTCAATGGTGCTGTTGTAATGCTCAAATGAGGTAGAGATAGGAAGTCTTTTTGAAAATTTTGAAGTGTTATATCAATGTCATACTTTTCCCATCATTCCTTAATGTTTCCTTATGCCTGTCTCTTTTTGTTGACGGGCATCCTGGTTAGAAATACAAACATTTCCTATGAGCAACACAATTATATATTATCATTACAGCACTGATGGGGGGAATATATATATTAATCGTCTTTTTTATCTCATCCCCTCCGCCTCATAATCTGAATCATCTGAGGACAAATTTATTAACCCCCTATTTATCCTATGACTCCTCATAGTATTGTAGCTCTCCTTGCACATCCTAAACATATAAGGCAAACAATTTAAATTGGCTAATCCATTCCTCCAAATTTCTATAATTCGTTTCATTAAATTTCTTTATAAACCTTTTCCCTCTCACAAAGCATTGAGACAAAGTTTTGTGTTAATCATTTTTAGGACAATGGACTGATCAGCAACCAAAAAACTGGGAGGAAATGAAAGAAATCACATTTCAGAAATGCCTAGTGCTTTCACCTGAAGAAATTCAGGATCAAATGAAACAGTTTGGAAACTGTGGTTTGCAGGTTATAAAGGTATACTTCATTAAGGGGAGGATTTGACTCATCTTGCTGTCACTTGGCTCTGTAGCCAAAAGAAAAACTCACCTGCTGATGACTCTAAGCTGCTGCTCACTGACCTGGAATCCTAGGAATAAGACTGAAGGGAGGGCAAGGATAGGCAGGTACAAGGGGTATAGTTGGAATCAGGAGGTAGAGAAGCACAGATCAAGGCCCAGGAAAAAGCTCTCTGCCTATCTTGAAGGAAAATAAAAGTAATGGAATAGCATTTATCACACTGTATTATAATTGTTTACCTATTTTTATCTCTCACTAAACTATGAGCTTTAAGAGGGCAAAGACTGTGTCTACATTGTTGACCATTTCTTTACCAGTACCTGGCACACAGTGAATGCTCAGTGAATTCTGATTAAATGAATTTATCAAAGAAAGGACAGGGAATTTTGAAGAGGTAGAAGTCAAACTAGGAAAGGGTTGGGGCCAGGAGAGACTCTTATGCAACTTTATATGAAAAGCAAATGTCATGCACAGTAATATGTACATAAATGCGTTTATTTTGAAACAGAGTATCAGGCAATTTAAGTAGCAGTTCTCCAGTCTCTTTTTCATTCATTTCCTTGGGTTCTAGGTGGAGAAGATAGACAATGTGGTTCTTATGGCTGCCTTCCAAAGAAAGAAGAAAATGATGGAAGAGAGAAAGAATGGGGAACCTGTGAGCCAGAGGCTGTTTCAGCAAGTCCCACACCAGTTCTGCGACCTGGTTTGCAGAGTTGGCTTTCAAAGAATGTACTCGGTGCCCCACGGTAAGTGTCAGACCCCCTTATTTGGGGCTGCTGTATGTGGGAATTGGTGAGCAGACTTCAGCAGACGACTCACTGCTGATAGCATTTGCTGCTATGGTGAGGGGATCATTTGCCACTGGGATTTAGTGGTAAAGTCATTTGGAAAGGGTTATATTTTTTATTTTTCCTTCATAGATTTAGTTGCTGATGGGGTTTGTGTTGGAGAAAGTGTTAGCAGTAAGATCTACAGTTTGCTGTTTTTCTCCTTTCTGTGTCTATGTGTTGTATCTGCAGAGAGCACCCTGGAGCTTTTTTTGTTGTTGTTGTTATCTTAACAAAATTATTAACACTACCAAACCATCCTCATCCTTTAATTAAAAGGGCATTTTCCTGAATTTAATAATGTTGGTCTTTTCTCTTCCATCCTCTTCGTTTCCTGTAGCCTGCTAGTGAATGAATTAGATGTCATCTGGCAGGTGAAGTGAATGACATCTTAAGATCCTTCTCAGCTATGGGGGTTCTATGTGTAGCTTCCATGTCTCTTTTCAGCTGTACAAAAATACTGCCTACTTAATTGCTATGTTGTCCCCTTTAGATCTCTCCAAAGGAGGCTAAGAAGTTTAGCAATCATCATGGAGGATGCCTATCAATGCAACTTGATTTTGCCTGGTCCATTAAATATGTGGTTTTTGATCTTTACCTTTCAAAATATGTAGCATAATCCTTGCTGTGAAGCTAACTCCACGTCTTGATTTCTAGAAGGCAAAGGGTCTGGAAATCATCTTCTCTTTGTTCCAGAGAGAACATAAGCAATACCTGGGGTAAATATTGAACACAGACAATTCCTAGGGGTAAAAATTGACAAATGAATTCCCACCAGGGAGTCTTTGGGTGTAACCAGGAAAGTGATGATCAGTATGGTCCTTTCATTGGTAAAGTCTTAAAAATTCACAACTTCCATTTACTCCTAAACCCATTGTAACTGGCTTCTCTGCACTAAGCCACCCCCGCACCCGCCGACCAACTCTTCTACTTAAACTACTCTCACTAAGATAATCATTGTCCTCCTATTTTCCAAATCCAGCAAGTGCCCTCTTTTCAGTCCTGTGGCAGACACTGCTAATTGCCTACAACATCTTTCTTCCAAAGACATCTAAGACACACACCATCCTCCCAAGAAAGACAGTCCCAAAGTCTCATCCTGTCTCAGCATCAGCCTCAAGTCCGGGCAGTTCTCTCTTAAAGCTTAGAGGCAAGGTAATTGCCCTAACACACTCATCACATAACGATAGGAGAAGGAGCAGGAAAACTGCAATAAAAACTCCCAGTTCGAAAGGGAAGAAGGAAAACACACAAGTCACTGGTCCATACCACTAGTCACATGCTGCTGGACAGGAATAGCGAGGACTCTCGATTCTGGGAGTGGAATAAGACCCTTGTTTTGCACTCTGGGAAAAATCTTCCTTATGTATTGCCGCCCTTGGTCATTTCTAGGTCCACTGCCAACCAGGTGTCCGTGGATTGCCTCAGGGGCTAGAATGCTCTCAGGCTACTGACAGCCAGGCTTGTGGTTTCTTCAGCAATACAGTTCCTTTCAAAACTCAGCAGGTATGAGGCCTGTTGGCTTCTGGTCAAGTTTGTGTCTTTATAACCCAGCCAAACATCTTGTCTCCATCTAGTCTTGAAGCCTCAAGGTTCTGGTCTTTTACCTCCTGGCCTCTGTGCTCTGTCCATCTCCCTAGCCCTTAGCTTAAGAGCCACTGCCTCGAGGCAATTCAGACAATAGACTCAGTGGGGAGATATTACCCATAATGTGACATGTGCCAATGTGTCTGGTGAGAACGCTTAACTGAAGGTGCTTGGGAAACTCAGGGGACATCAATTTTATCACCACTGAAGCTGTTTTGCAACCCATTTTTTCTACCTAGTTTTCATTTGGAGTACAAAGGCTCTTGGCTTTGTCATCCCTGCAAGGTTCCAAATTATGAGACTTTCCGTCCATTTAGATGGGCACACTTACTTAAGCAGAGGGGGCTTCTATTACCAAAGGTTTATTTTTTTTTCTGTCTTTGCTTGTAGTCCAGCCAGTTCTACTCTGAGTTCATCTCTTGCTTGTAGGACTTGACTGAATGCAGCAAGGAGCGTACACGCCTGCAGTTGCTTTATTGGGTTCATTCATTCATTCCACAAGTATTTATTGAACATATTCCATGAGTCAAGCCCTGTGCTAGGTGGGAGGGATACAACAGCAAACCAAACACAGAGTTCCTGCCTTTATCATTTATAATCTGAGTCCATCTGTTGCCCATTCCTTAAGTGGTGGTGTTTTCTGGAGTTCTGAAGGAAACCTCTCTTTTTCCTCTACAATATCCCCCTAGGTGACCGCACCTATTCTCTTGGCCTCAACTCCTACCTCTACAATGATGACTTACAAATTTGTAGCTCTGACCCCCTACCTCTCTCCTGACCTGCAGATCTATATTTCCGATGTATTTTGGACATCTCCACTTAGATGTCCACAGCCACTTCAAGCTGAACTCTTTTCTTGGCCATATTTTTCCCTGAGAAATATGCTCTTTTTATGATACTCCCTAACCTGGCCAAGACCATCACCATCTATCTACCAGGTCTCCTACGCTGGAAACTTTGTCATCCTCCATTCCTTCTTCTTTCCTTTCTCTCACCCCTATAGCCAGACAGTCACACAGTCCTAGTGATTCTCTCTCAATAAAGTTCTCAGCCCAGCCTTACTTCTCTATTCCTACTGCCTTAGTTCATTGTCCCCTAGGCCTAGACAATTACCAGGTCCTTTCCCTGCCTCTAAACCACCCCTATCTAACCTATCCTTTACTCTGCTACCAGAATTATCATGCTAAAAAATTACATGCCTATTTAACATCTGCATTCCTAGTTGCCTATGAGGTAAAAACCCAAACTCCTTAGCAGAGCATATAAGGCCCTAGCCCCACGTTATTTCACCAGCCTCATCACTCACTATGTGCCTCAACACTCTAGCCATGAACTTCTTAGAGTTTCCTACATAGTGTATGCTGTATGCTTTCATGCCTCTGTGCCTTTGCATGTGGAGTGCCTTCCCTCCTCACCCATTTTAGCCCTGCAGACTCCTATTCCTTCTTCAGGACATGGCTCGAGTGGCATCTCCTGGTTGACACAGGAGCTCCTGTCAGTTGCTTCCTCCTCTGTGCTCCTGCACATCCTCCATTCCTTTGTACATCTATAACTCTTAACACATACGAAAACGTACAGTCCCACAAAAGTCAGGTGTGGGACCTGTGTTCTTTATGCTTCATGATCCCATGTCCCCAGATGTGAAAAACTCCATCTTGACAGTTCAGGATACACTCAGTCATTTTCTCTAAGTGACTTCGGAGTTTAAACTCAGTTCCTGCCAGGTCTTGCCCTTTCTTCTTCTCTTCTCTCTGAGTGCTCTAGATGATGGGACAGGCATTGTGGGGAGGGTGCTCTAGTTCATGGCCCCCATCTGTCCTCTGCCCCACAGTGTGCTTTGCTAGATAAACCAACCTGGGCTTTGGTCATTAGCACCCTCCTGTGCTTAAATTTCTGGTGCCCTTTGCTCTTAGGTAGTTTCTACACAGGGCACCCTGTTTTTCATGCTGAGAGAATTCTTTTCTGGGCCATGTCTGTGCCCCTCTTACAGCGCAGGAAATCTTTGAGTGTGCACATCCTCCAAGCTGAAATGTGGGGTCTCGTGTGGCAGTCCTTATCTGTTCTGGACATCTTCCCCAGCCACTGCCACGTTCTCCCCAAGTGCCAGGCTGGATGAGGGGGCTGCACCCAGCGGGGTCAGGCAACGGTCCCTTCTGCTCTGAAAGTCCCCCTGATTTTTCTAAGATTTCTATTCTTCTGCTCCATCTTGACTCCTAGGGCTGTCTTGAGGGAGTGGGGCAGTGAAGTGAGCCCCTTCTCAGCGTCCCGAAGAGTTCTAGTATGTCCTCTCTGATTCTTCGCTTCCCACCAGGTGGAAGGAAGAACTTTTATTTATCTCCAAGTGAGAAAACTACTCTTAGAATAGTTTGTATTCTTCTCTCCTGTGTTATATATGATATAAACTCCATGCTCTGAATTCTTCAGGCTTTTAGCCTTTTGGTTCAAAAGACCCTTTTCCTCTCTCAGAAAACCTAACTCTGAAAGCCACACTTTCGAGACCATATTCCCTGCTTTGATTAAAAATAATTATATATGATCATATATATGTATATTCAATTGACTTTGTTCTATGCTTAACTTTTTTGCCCCTGACGTAATAAGTAGGAAGAACTCAATGGTTGGAGGAACAAAGAGGAAAAAGAAACTCTTAGGAAAGTAATCTTTGATTTTTATCACCAAATATTTCCTTGCCAGATAAAATTGTATTATATTTTATCTGTTTACATGTGGAGAGTTCCCTTTGTGAACTTTTGAGAATAGGGATCATGTCTTAGTCATTGCTGAAGATCTAGAGCTGTAGTGTCCAATATGGTAGCCACTAGCCACATGTGGCTATTGAGCACTTGAAATGTGGTTAATCCGAATGGGGACGTGCTGTAAGTATAAAATATACACTGAATTTTAAAGACCACTTAACCAAAGAACGTAAAATATCTCCTTAATAATTTTTTACATTGATTACATGGTGAAATGATAACATTTTGGATTAATAGGTTAAATAAAAATATTATTAAATTAATTTCACCTATTTCTTTTTACCTTTTTTAATGCGGCCACTAGAAAATTTAAATTGCACACGTGAATCACATTGCATTTTGTTGTTCAGTGCTGCTCTGGAGCCTGAAACAGTGTTTGGTTAAGTCCCAAGTAAATGTAAAGAAAGAGGGAGGGAGGGTGGAAGGAAGGAGGGAGGAAGGAAAGAACAAAGGAAGGAAGGTATATTTAAACATAGGCTATTACTGAGTTGTTGATATCTGATAATTTGTCTGAAGGAAACAACTTTGGGTGTCTTTGCTACAGACACAGGGATTTGGGACCAGGAGGTGGTGTTTATTCGGAGGACTGGAGAGAGAATATACACTAGTACCCAAATAGGCAATATGACTCACCAGATCATAATAATCGTTTAAATTTTTTTTCTTTTATCAGACCCAAAATATGGAGCTGGCCTACACTTCACCAAGAACCTCAAAAACCTAGCATCCCAGTTCAAGAAAACATCTGCCACAGATAAGCTGATCTATGTGTTTGAGGCTGAAGTACTCACAGGCTCCTTCTGTGAGGGTCATTAGTTAAATATTGTTCCCCCACCATTGAGTACTACTGTCATGGATAGCCATGACAGTGTGGTTGACAAAGTTAGCAGCCCTGAAACCTTTGTTATTTTTAGTGGCACGCAGGCTATGCCTCAGTATTTGTGGACTTGCACCCAGGATCATGTACAGTCACAGGATTACTCATTTGGACAAATGATGCTGTCTCCACAGCAGATTTGGAGAGGATCAAGTGGCAGCCCTGTTGACTAACTTCCACATAATTTTAACAACTGGCATGGCCTTGCTTTGGAGAAACTAACCAAATAATGATCATCAGTGACTCAAAGAGTGGTTTGAATATGTCAAATGGTTGTCTGTGTAGATTGATTGGGTTATTGGGTTATTGAAGCCACATACTGGCATCTTGGTGCCTTCATCTTTGTCTTCATCTCTTGGGGTTGGGGTGGGTAGATACCAACTAAAACACTCTCAGAACCATTCCTTCTCCTTCAATTTGTCCGTTCATCTCCTTTACTACAGGTAATAGTAAAGATTTTTCACTTGTAATGAGGAGATTTTTCTAGTATATAATCCAAGCCTTCTAATTTTTAAAATGATAGTGTAACATATTAGGACAGCAAGATGATTTTAGATTTTCCAGAGAATCTGATACAGTGCTTTAGGTATCAAAAGAAATCACCTTTATCTGAGTAAGTGGCTTTGAAGAATTACATGTAAAATGAAACTATTTGAAATGAAAGGACATCAAAAGCCTGATATTGTACTGATATCCTGTTTGGATTCAGCCATATCAAGCAATGCCACTCAAGCACCATGAGGCCCAATTATTAATTCACCAACTATTTTCTGATCACCAGATGTGTTTCAGTCACTTTCTGGGTGCTGAGAATAAGATGTTGAACAAAACAAATGTCTTCATAAAGCTTTCAGGCTGAATAATCAGAGAGGCAGCGATGGACAACTTAACAAGTGTGATTGGGTATAACAAAAGAGGAATTACAGATTCTTTAGAAAAATTTAAAGGAGAGAGGGATAAATTAATCAGAGGTTGGGAGGAAGGCCTTCTAAAGAAAGTGAAACTCAAGCAGAGACCTAAGAATTTGTAAGAGTTAGGCGAGTAAGAGATGCAGCAAATCGGGAGCAGAGACAGAGTATTTTATGCAGAGAGAATAGCTCTTACAGAGGCTGAACCCACTGTGACTATGCCCAAATTTGACTTCAGAGTTCTGCAATGTAGAAGCCAGCAAATCTCATCAAGCATCTCTTGCCTATTCAGAAATCCATGTTTCTCTAGAATTCCAAACTTTCCTGACCCTCACATCTTCAACCTCTTAGACAGAACACTTCCTCCTCCTCATCTGACCGTAACCAGAATTCTTCCTCTTGAAAGAAGCATGCTTATTGTCTCATATAGTATTTTCCTGGGATATGGGCAACAGGAGCCCTGCCTTGGACCTCTAGTTTGAGAGGGCCCCACTCTAGCCTTCCTCCAGCTGTGCTCATCTGCACAAGGTGAGAATCCACAGGGTCAAGAGCATTTATCCATTTGGAGCCCACACACCTCACTCTGAAAACACCCACTAGGTACCTGGAAACCCCAAATTTCCTGCCTACACAGCTCCAAGTCTATTTCCAGGGCCTGATTGGGCCTCTTTCTTGGGTCTCTCCTCCTAAGGGTGGGCTGTGCCATAGTCTGCATCAAGAAATGGCCAAGGGTGACCATTTGCAGGGATGGAACTTGCACATGAGGGCTGAGGTGTTCACATGCCTATGCATGAGGCCTGTGATACAGAGCTGAGGGTGAGAGTCCAGATTTGCAAGATCTAGCATATGTTTAATAGGGATTTCAAAAAAGAAGGGAGGAGAGGCAATGTTCACAAGGATAAGGAAAAAAAAAAAACCCATACCAAGAAACATCATAGTGAAACTGTAGACCCCCAAAGAGGTGATCTTAAAAGCAGCCAGAGAGAACAGCCAAATCATCCACAAAGGAATGACAATTAGACTGACAGCATACTTCTTGTGGTAGGCAGAATGATGCGTTCCCCCTGCCCATTGCAAAGATGTCCACACTTCAATCTCCTGAATCTGTCAATATGTCACCTTACATGGCAAAATGAATTTTGCAGATGTGATCAAGGTCACCCTTCAGATGGGAAGATTAGCCAGGATTATCCAGATGGTCTGAATCTAATTATATAAGTCTTTCAAAGTTGAAAAACTTTCTAGCTGCTTCAAAAAGATGGCAGCATGAGAAGGATTTGATGCTTCGTGCTGATTTTGAGATATAGGAGGTTATGTGCAAGGACTAGAGAGAAACTTCTAGCGGCTAAGGGTGGCTCCCAGCTGACAGCCAGCAAGGAAACCGAGATCTCAGTCCTTTAACTCCATGGAACTGAATTTTGCCATCACCTAAGTGAGCAAGGAAATGGACTCAAAAGCTTCCGGAAAGGATTGAAGCAAGCCTGCTAACACTCTGATTTTAGCCCCATGAGACCCATACCTGACTTTTGACCTTTAGAACCATGAGACAATAAATTTGTGCTCTTTTAAGTCATTAAAGTTGTGGTAATTTGTTATGGCAGTAATAGAAAACGAATACACTTTTCACCAGCAACAATGGAAGCCTGAAGACATTAGTATAATATTTTCAAAGGGCTTAGGGAAATTAACTGTTAACCTAGAATTTTATAATAAGCTAAACTTTTATTTTGCCTTGATTTTGAATAAAGGCAGTCTCAGACCATCAAAAACTGAATTTACCAACAATAGATTCTCATTCAAGAAACTTAAAGATACACTTCAAGAAAGAGAGAAAAAACAAAGCAAAACTTAAGCTGCAAGAAGGCATGATGAGCAAAGAAATAGTAAATATTGATACATATGAACAATCATTGTATTTATGAAACAGTAATAGGAATGTCTTATTTTGGGAATAAAATAAGTCAAATAAAATATTGAAAAATGAACCATGTAAAATAGTGGAGTGATGACTACAGTTAAAGGGATTTAAAGTCCTTGTGTTGTTCAAGAGGAGATTAGTGTTACTAAGTTTACTATGCAGATTAAAATTTAAGGGCAGCCACTAAAAGAAGAGAAATAAAGTATCTAACTTCTAAATAGTAGACCAAAAAATGGAATGAAGAAAATCCAGGGGCCGGCCCTGTGGCATAGTGGTTAAGTTCAACGTGCTCCACTTCGGTGGCCTGGGGTTCACAGATTCGGATCCCGGGTGCAGACCTACACCACTTGTCAGCCATGCTGTGGCAGTGACCCACATACAAAATAGAGGAAGACTGGCACGGATGTTAGCTCAGGGTGAATCTTCCTCACCAAAAAGAAAAAAAATAAAGAAAATCCAAGGGCCAGCCCCATGGCCTAGTCGTTAAGTTCGGCGTGCTCCCCTTCGGTGGCCTGAGTTCAGTTCCTGGTTGTCGACCTACACCAGTCATCGGTGGCCATGCTGTGGCGGCGACCCACATACAAAATAGAGGAAGACTGGCACAGATGTTAGCTCAGGGCAAATCTTCCTCAGAAAAAGAAAAAAGAAAATCCAAAAAACACTGGCAAAGCAAGTAGGGGGAAGAAAGAATCAGGAGGGAAAAAAAGTGAGACAAATAGCACAAAATGGTAGAAATAATTCCAAATATATAAGTGATCTTAATATGTGTAATTTGGACTAACCTTGCTAGTTAAGTCACAGACTGATAGATTGGATTTTAAAAATCCAACTACATACTGTTTACAGGAGATATAAGAAAATCATTAAAATTACAGAAAGAATGAAATTAAAAAGAAAAAACGTAATTAGCAAACACTAACGAGAAGAAAGCTGGTGTTGCTATATTAATAATGACAACATAGATCTTAAGTAAAGAGTGTTATTAGGGATAAAGATGACTATTTGATAATAACAAAAGATTCAGTTAACCAGGAATAGATATAATGATAAACCTATATGCATTTAATAACATAGCCTCAAACTATATAAAACAAAACTGACAGAATTACAGGAAAAACTGAAAAATCCACTATGATAGAGATTTAACAGAGCTCTCTCAGTAACTAGTAGATGACACAGTAAAAAAAAAAATTAGTAAAACTATAGATGATTTGAACAACACAATTTTTACCTAATGTACATATATAGAACCCTCTACCTAACAATTAGAGAATACATAGCTTCTGAAGTGTATACACTGAACAGTTATGTATATTGAGCATATTCTAAGTTCAACAATTTTGAAGACATTCTCAACTGGACCATGTTCTGTGACCATCATCCATCATGTAATTAACTTAGAAATCAATAAAAAACAATAGTTTAAAAATAAATCCGTTTGGAAATTAGATGTATACCTCAAAATAACACCTCATGGGTTGTGAAAACTTAACAGAAATTAGAGAATATTTAGAACTGAATGATAATGAAACTATTACTGATATAGTTTGTGACATAAAGCTAAAATAGTGCTTAAATTATTCCTAACCTTAAAGCTTATATTAAGACAAAGGCAGAAATTAATCAGCTAAGATTAATTAATTCAGAAATTAATCCAACTTAAGAAAATCAGAATAACCTTGAAAAAGGAATAAAAACAGAAAATAACGGAAGCAAAACAAAACACAACAGAGAGAAGTAATAATGTCAACAGCTGTTTCTTTGTAAAGATTTTAAAATTGACAAATCTTTGGTAAGACTGATGAAGAAAAAACAAGAAAAGGTAGAAATAAAGAATTTAAGGAATAAAAAGAGGATGTAACTAAGATACATTAGAGATCTAAAGATAATAATACTAGAAACAATTTTGTGCTAATTGAAAATTTAGACAAAATATAGATTTTCTTAGAAAAATATAACTTACCAAAATTGACTGAAGAACTAGAAATCCTGAATATTCTAATAATATCTATTCAATAAGTTTAATCAGTGATTAAAATTTTACCTACCAAGTAAACAAGTACATACAATAGGCTAAGATGATTTTACTAGTGTGTTCTATCAAATCTTGAACAGATAATTCCAATCTTATATAAAATTTTCTAGAGAACAGAAATAGGGGAACACTCCCAACAAATTTTTCAGGGCTAGTTTAACCATGATACCAGAAATAGACAACAGTATAAAAGGAAAAATACAGACTGATTCATTTACATAAATAGACACACAAATCCTCATCCAAATATTAACAAATATAATTCAGCTCTGTATACATAAATAAATCACGGTCAAGTTGGATTTATCTCAGAAATGCAAGGATAATTTAACTTTAGAAAACCTATTAATGTAACTCACCATGTAAATATAAAGGGTATGCTCATTTCAATATATAGAGAAAAATCATTTGATAAACAATTCATAAAAATATATCTATCAAAAACCTAGAGTAAGCTTCATATTTCATGATAAAACATTAGAACAATTACCTAAAAAATCAGGAATGAGACAATGGATGCTTCCTATCACCACTTATCTTCAGCAATGACTTAGAGTTCCTGGCAAACACAGTAAAGAAGAACAAAAAAAAACACTAAAAAAGGAGGAAAAAAAATGTCATTAATCATAGGAAATATGATGATGATGATTTCTATAGAAAATCCAAGAAAATCTGAAGACAAATTATTAGAATTAATAAAAGCATTCTGCAAGATTCTAAATAGAAGTTATACATAAATCAATTTCATTCCTATGCATGAGAAACAGTAAATGTAATGACCTTTTATTATGATTACAATAGCAACAGCAAAATATAAGGTAAGTAGAAATAAATTTAACAAAAGATGTATAAAAACCTCATGAAAAAAATTACAAAACTTCACTGAAAGGCATTAAAGAATATGTAAATAAATGGAGAGATAAACTGTATCCTCATTGAGAGGAAGACTCAATATAATAGAGATGTCTATTCTCTAAAAATTAATCTTATCAATTCAATGCAATTTCAATGAAAGTCATTAGAGATTGTTTTCATAGAAACTGACGGAGTAATTATAAAATTTATATTAAATAAAAAGGCCCAAGAAGAGCCAAGGCAATTTTAAAGAAGAAAAAGAAAGTGGAGGTGACTTGACCTACAACATATGATTTATTATACAACTTACAGTAATCAAGATGTAATACTAGTGCACGGATGGACAAACAGACCAAATGAATAGAATAGAAAGGTCGAAAACAGACCTGTGCCAATATGGAAACTTGAGAATATATGTATCTTGAATATATATATATGTATCTCGAATATATAGATCTCAAATATATATGTATATATAGGTACTGAATATACATAAAATGTACATATAAGTTTATAGTTTATTATCTCAAATTTATATATTATATATACTACATAAAGTATATAAATACATATAAATATTCTGCAATATTTGTGATGTACCTTTTCACATTGCAGGCTTTATAGTGTAAATATTTTTATGGTACATTTAAAATTTTCCAGTAAATATTTGCATTTAGAAGCTAAGTACCATTTAAAAGTCAGAATTCATGTGATAAGGAATACAGTTGATTTCTTATTCAAGTTTCCATTTTCAAGTCAAAACTATTTGATGTTTGCATTTTTGCTCACTGGTTCTTTTTATTTTCTAAGTATCATGTGACTATCTATATGCATTCTTTTCTCAATATAGACCCTGAATGTTTGTATATATATGAATGACAGAGGTAAAATTGCAGATCACTGGGAAAACAATGGACCAATATCAAGCGATGATCTTGGACAACTGGTTAAGGAAATGCAAAACAATAAATTTGGAACCTAGGTGAGGTTCCCTAGAAGCAGACCCTGATATGGGGATTCTTGTTCAAGCGACTTATTGGTGAAGTACTCTTGGGAATATGGGATACCGCATAGGGCAGGGGGAAAGCTAGCCCG